TTTAAAAAAAACAGACTTTAAATACTATGTCAATAGTGTCAATACTATGCAATACCTACTTGTTAATTATGTAGGTAATATACAAAGTGTCAATTTGAAAACTTCCCACCCCTATTATCTCGGAGTAGAAATTTTTGAAAAAATCCCTGAAACACGTCAACTATAATTTGAACTTTGAATTTAATCCATGATCAAATTCAAAAATGGTGTCAAATGATAGTTTATGAAAATCTAAGGTAAAAATGTAAGATCGGTTTTCCTCTAAAATTAACCGTTTAGGTTTTACAGCCTGTCAAAGTAGCAAAAAAGTCAATTTTCAACTGTCAATATTTCCAAAACAGTTGAACTTAGGGACTAAAATTTAGTACCAAAATGTATGAAATTAAAAACCTTGCAAAATGATGTATCACTTGACCCCCTTCCCATTTAAAATTTTCTAGGGGGTGGCTCTGGGGGCTGGGGGGTTGAAAGAAGGAAGGTGAATTTTGCATTAAAACTCATCCCCCCTTCAAATTATAGTTGACGTGTTTCAGGGATTTTTTCAAACATTTTTCTTCTCCGAGATAATACTTAGGGGTGGGAAGTTTTCAAATTGACACCCTGTATGTCAATACTTATAGATATCTAGGCAATATATGTTAATGTCATTGGTTGATACCCATTGATAACATGTAAATACCTGTGGATATGTCAATACCTAGAATTCTGGCAAGACAAATATTTGATTTTAGTCTGTCAATAGCATGGCAATGCCTGGTAATATGTGATAATACTCGGGAAATATCTCGGGAAATACCTGGCAATATGTGGAAATATTTTGTTAATACATGGAAATAGTTGGCAATAACTTGTTATTAGGTACATAGAAATATCTGTTAATGCATGGAAATATCTCAGTACTGTTAATAGTGTTAATCTGTGTACAAATTTTGTTAGGTGGAAAACCCCTCGCCCAGTTTTTTTTTTTTTAGTTTTATTGCCTGCCTTCTAGATTTCACCCTTATAAGAATAGTATATTGTTGTATTAGGAGTTAAAGCTTTACTTTTTTGTGCTGAAGCAGTAGGTTTGCGAGCCAAACATAGTGCACATATAAGCACAAAAAAGTGCTTCTACTCCGTATGCAACACGCTACTTTTTCTCCAAATTAATGGGGTAAGCTCAGGGGCAAGTGAATGGTTGAGCGGCAGTAAAACTACGAGCGGCACTAAAAGTACTTTTGCTGCCGCTGAGGTTGCCAAGCAGCATAGAAATTAAACGTCTTCCACCTCGACAGGTGTTAACCCACTGGATTTGCCTGGCAGCATAGAAATCAAACTTCTGACATCTTGACAGGGGTTAACAAAGTGACGTTTTTTTGACGTTTGGAGAAAAAAATCTTTGGCCGACTTTATGAGTGAACTTTCCTATAATTAATAAAATAATTTAGAAAATATTCATTATCAATGTAGAACTTTCGAATTGTATGTAAAGATATGTATTAGGTTTACTGTAAAAGTCTCGATACCAGATGTAAGCAAGGGTTATTTTTTTCTTCAATTTTTATATTTTTCAGGGGAAAGTTATTATTAAAAACATTAATTAGAATATTATTAAAACATACAAATGGTTTTCCAGAACTCAAAACACTGTCCCATATTTCAGTATTACAACTTCCATTAATTTTTTTATAATTTTGCCTGCCAAAAATTCTGCCTTGACGGATCTTTTTATGTTTAGGAATAAGGTCGACTTGACTCGACTCTTTTTGTCATTTTTGAGGTGACCATTTCACTAGAGTGTATTACACCGGTTATACAACTCACTGTACATTATTCCCATATGACACGAGAGGCTTAAGAAGTGATAAGCCTTTTGGGATTATCGCGCTTGGTGGCAATATTGTCAATTTGTCATTAATGATTATAAAGATTGATAAAGTATTGAAGTTTAGTTCGTTGTATAACCTTTTGAATACCACTCGATGTTTCAGGATTACCTAATACTTTTACCTGACACTCAACGCGTTACCAGCAACACCACTCCTCCTTCGGAGTCGTGGTGTTGCTGCGTAACGCGTTTCGTGACAGGTAAAAGTATTATCCGGTAATCCTGAAACCTCTTGTGGTATTACATTCGACAATAAATTCGGTATTCAGCTGACAATATTGCTACCTGGACAATACCAACAACATGGTATTTCAGCGACCATTTTTTGACATTGTCAAACTGATATTTTTAATTTGAAGTTTTTATTCATATATTTACATTCTATTTAAGTATTTTCAAAATCTTACGTGAAATAGTCATGACGAATACCAATCGAGAAAAATGTGTAGGCAAAATTGTTCTCAACGTTTTATTCAAGTTTGTTGCTTTTCGGAAATTTCGCTCATGACATTTTTGATTAATCTGTGTGTGTTTTTGATAAAATCACTCGCCTGACGGCTCGTGCAGTGGAAATATATTTATAATTTTCGACAAATTTGCACTCATGCGTTTTTAACTGAAAAAGGCACTCATGCACTACGTGCACTCATGCTCTTTTTCAACTAAAAATGCATTCGGGCAAATTTCCCAAAAATTATCAATAATTTCCATTGCACTAGTTATATTACTATTGATAATTCCCCAAGTCAAAAATTTAGTAACTATGTTGGCAACACAAGCCTTTTCTACATAAAAAATTTGAAAGTATTGACAATTTTACATTGTATTGCCAACAGAATGTCACTTTGACTTTTATCTTTAAAAAAAAAAACAGATTTTAGGTATATTTTTTTTTAGAGTGACAGCGTGACAGTGACAATTCAAAATTGTAGGTTGAAGTTTAAATTAATGGGTTTGTTCAGTAATATTAATATTTTTTGCAGATTTTTACATTTATTGGGGCTGACTGACCAGCACGGTCCCACTATTCAACTGACTGACTAACACTTTTGTTATTTATATGTTATAGATAATTGCCCTTGCTCTTTGTCATATTTATTAATGACTTGCCCAACTGCATAAAGTTCTCAGAAAGCTTGGTATATGCTGATGATTTTAAGGTTTTCAAACTAATTACCAAAGCAGAAGATTGCACAAGATTGCAGGAGGACCTGGACTCTGTTGCTCGCTGGTTTCTAGATCACAGGATGCATCTCAACATTAACAAGTGTCAAACAATCATGTATACTCGCAACATCAATTACATCACAAATACCTATACAATAAATGATAGATCTTTGCAGAGAAAAGACAAGTGTAAGGATCTCGGAGTTAACTTCCAAATGAACATGAAATTCAATGATCATTATTATTATGTTGTCAATAAGGCATATCGAGCATTATAACAAAATGATCCTGATCCTCCATTTATTGAATAATTCATTTATTACAAAAAATGTGATAAATGAAGAACCGCTCGACCAATTTTGTGCAAACTTCACATAAACCATCTAATAAATAGTCCGAACAAAGCCTAAACATTTGGTTTGGCTAGGTGAGCCGGTTCTTGAGTTATAAAATTACAACGAAAAGTGGCATTAATTTTTATATAATATAGATAATCCCATATAAAATCAAGCCAGATACGAACAAAAATGTTATAGGTAGCTGATGATCACCTTGCCAAATGACCTTCTAGCTTGTCTCAACTTGTACTTGAATTTCAGAACATTACTGCAACTTCAATATTGAATCACACAAATAAAGCAATAAATGAATAAACTGTGCTGAATGTTATTGGCAATAGGCAATAGATGAGCTCGAAAAGCGATAATTTCTGACAAATGAGGCTGTATCTCAGAAATGATAATTGGACATGTTAGAACAGAACAGGTGGATGCAAATGAAAACCTGAGACCTCCAGAAAAGATTCCTGATCCCCAGAACTATGTCAGAATGTCAGCTAGGATAGCTGATTCTTTATTTAATATAATTACTATACGACGAGCTTCATTTATTGAATGAATGACTAGATTCTCGATGGATGATTACCTCTTTAATTACCTTGGAAGGGCATGACAAGTTCGGCAACAAAAAAAAAATTAAATTGTGAAAAGATCAAGAAACAAATTTGTAATGAAAACTACAAATTTCTCCAATAAAATTCTTCAAAATACTAATAATTACACATCCGAAAATGTTTTCTTTTGTGTGATGAAAAATGCAGGGTAGCGATGTAAACAATGAAATGCTGCAATGACAATTTAAAATCCAATATTCAAAAATAACAAATTACTTACATCACTAATCGGCTAATTATCGACGAGATCATTTTGTTAACAACTACAAATTCAACACACGACAATCGAGTTTTTGTTCGAAAACTTTAAAAAGAGATTTACAAGTCAAATCATGTCAAATTTAACGTATTTTTAGAGCAAGGTGCGACAGCCCCACCGTAGTTAGCAAGTCTAGTCTAGTGTTTAGTAGTAATTTTGTTATTTTGTTCTTTGGCATTGACGTTCATCCCCTCTACTTTCGAAGCAAGGGAAAAAGTGAGGTTTTTATGTTACAATCAAAAATATTGAAAATCTGATGCAGCTTTTAATTTGGGGCGATTTCAGATGATCAATCGGTAAGCTATGTTCGCGGATCATATTTCAAACCTACTCTGAACTAGTTTGGAATTTGGAATGGAACGGAACAAGAGTCTTTTCAGAATTTTACTCGACCGGCGACCGACAATGATTTTGGTCGGAATAGGAAACGAAAACTCGTAAGTGCATCGGTTCCGAACCAATTTTGTACTAGTTCTACCGGTTCCAGGATTTCCTACCAACCAAAAAGCCGTCCCAAGAACGGGTTCGAAACCACTCTGTATACGAATTTCGGATTCTAAAGTTTTACGTTTTGCCACTACATCCTGACGATGAAATGATCAACATCCTTGAGTATCAAACAAAATGGTGTCAACCGAGGTATCAGCCATGTAAAAACCAAGGATCTGACCACTGCACCGACCAACAATTCATGAAATCGATTGGTATGACATTGGACATGTCACAGGTGTTGTCATTTTTATACCAAAAACGCGTGAAAACGCCTGTAGGTCTAGTAGATTCTAGTTTGTTGACAAAAGGAAAAGAAAAAGAAATTTCCCTTTTTGGGGAACATCTGTTCATGGTTGTTGTTAATTTCGATTTTAAATTTTCGGTTTTCACAATTCCAACAAACTAGTATTTTATCTATTTTATAAAAGAACTCGCTAATGTTTTCGATAAACAGTTGAATATTTGTATTAACATTGAACAGCTGCAAGCAAATAATGGCCCAAACTAAAATAACAGCAATTTACGGACGTCGCCCCCCTTGCTCGGAAGTTGGCAGGATCCAAGAGAGAAAAAACAAGGCGAAGGCCTTAAAATTGCAAGAGCAAAATCGCAAACCCGAGAAACCAGAAGATTTTATCACATACGAAGACAGGTAAGCGATTTCACCTAATTAATTAGTAATTAACTTAAGTACATATTTGTATATTTAGCGAGTCGGAAGAAGAAACTGATTTTGTATTAAACGAAGCCCTAAACACGTCGTACAATTTTGTCGATTACGTAAAGCATAGAGAAACTCAGACCTCAAAATACAGTTCTGTAATGAAAGAATACGGAAATAGACACATGTTGACTCATGAAATGTTTAAGGAAACTGCAATCAATTTGGGACATATGAACAAAGTGTTTTGTTCTCAGTGGTTAAGTAATAGACAGGTTGTTTTCGGAACTAAATGTAATAAGGTCAGTATACTTAGTAAAATATAATTTGTTGTCCTATACTTTTAAGTTGTGAAAAAATCAGTCTGAAAACTTTAAACTAGGTACCTAAAATCTACAATTTATATGCTGAACCTCATCCAAGAATTACAACATATTTCTATACAAAAATTAAAAAATCAAACAAACATGTTTCTTCTCAATTCCCTTTTAATGCTGATATTCTTCCAACATATTCAAAATACTGTGGCAAATTATTATATAGGTACTGCTAATCCTATGAAACATATTGAATTTTGAGATGAGGTTATTGTATTGTGTACCTATTATCCATTCACAATCCGATGTCCACAGGTACTGGTAAAATTTATCACCTTTCAATGCTATTTGATAGGGAAAGGTGATAAATTTACCTGTACCTGTGGACATCGGATTGTAAATCATTAACAATTGACGTGTCTCGTAATGAGTGTTTTTGTCATCTTTTGCGATTCTAATTTCACGAGCATTCATGCAGGATTCGAGTTCTCCTGTCATCTACGGTCGAAACCTAAACGGATGCCGAGCGACATACTTGACCTCAGAAAAATACAAATAAGGTCTGTTCTACCACATCAAAAATCATCCTATGATCGGTTTTGAAACCCACTCTGTATACTAATTTAAGATTCTACGCACTATTTTTGGGCTTTGCGCAGAATCGGGATGTTATAACTTATAAGCTTTGTTACAACATAGCAGGACACCGTAAAATATACTGTCACGATTCTCCGCAAAGCCTGAAATTTGTGCTTCCAACATTCGTATACAGGGTGGTTTCCAAACCGCTCATGGAATGGTTTTTGACATGTTGGAACAGTCCTATTTTGTACGGTTGCTGTGTTGGAACAAATCTATAACAAACAATCGTTCGATAAGGGGAATTTCAAAATTAACAAGAAACACTGGCGCGTTTGGTAGCATCCTGTGGCATGAAATAGCAATGCTGTTGAAAATTTAGTATCTGGTGCTACCCCATTGGGCTACGGTCGACATTATGGATAGTAATTTTGTAATTTTTTCTGTAAAGATTCAATGAAACTATAATATTTTATCAGTTGTTTGCCTTTCATAGGTGTGCATTAACCTATTTGAAGCACCAATAATTATTAAAATACAGTTGTAGGGTAGGCTAGGAAATTAACAAAGAAAAGGTTTTTAACGTTTTTGGTGAATTAATGCTTCCAAGGATCTTCTCTTTGATATCTGACGAGCGGAACGAGCAATCGAAGACTCAAAAATAATTTAAACAAGAAGGTGCTTTTAAAAAAGGTTTTTCACACTGTTGGTGGATTCACGTTTCCGAGGATCTTCTCTTTGAGATTCGGCGAGCAAAGCAAGCATTCGGAGACTCAAAAATAATTTAAGTTTTATAAGGTGTTTTTTAAAAAAAGATGTTTCATTACAATGTGACAAAGCTGCAAATATTTTCTTGAATTTGATGATTTTTGATGTTTAGAGTCGCTAAAAATTCCGATTTTTGAGGGAACTGAATATTTTTTTTCTGCTTGAATAATGCGTTTACCGCAATTTTTATTTCTCGAATCTACTATTTGAAATGTAATCTTTCGGATAAAAAAAAATCCACTGTCCGTAAAGTCGTCCGGATAATTCATCAAGAAATTATTTTTCTACCACCGTGCGTAAAGTACTCACTTTACGCACTATTCAGAAGACGGAAAATTTCGCTTCATCAGAGCTGGGATCGTTACTTGAAAAAAGTAACGCGTTACTTTACAGTTACTTCTGCTTAAAAATAACTCGTTACTTAAAATTTACAGTTACTTTCGAATAATGATAACTTTATTTTCGTTATTTATTGGAAAGTAACGCGTTACTGTAACTTCTTTACTTTGAAAGTAACTTCTTTACTTTAAAATTAGTTCGTTACTTTTAAAGTAACGCGTTACTTCAAATATAACTATTTACGTCGAAAATTGCGTTATTCCTTAATTTGACTCACCAACACAGCAGCCCAAACAATCAAATAAGACCTATACGAAATGCCAATATGTTTTTAGTTTGTGAGTCCGACTATGTGGAAGAGTATTCTTGCAAAATTCAAACGGATTAAGGATTAAGCGACTGAATAGAGCACTTGGTTTTGGATAAACCTGCTCTTTGAAGCGTCCCAGTGTCTGCATATAGTGTCTTTAGAGCAGAGGCGGCGCGTGGCACGCCCAAAAACGATTATTTTGAGCTTTCAAAACAAATTTTCTGTACTACCAACATTTTATTTGAAATACAAAGTTTTTGGATTACTTATTTTCCTTTTCTTCAGTCTTCAATTATTTGTAAAGAAGATAAACAAATTGAGAGAACGAGTTACTTTCATAGTAAATAGTAACGCGTTACTTCCAGCGTTACTTCAGGAAAGTAACGTCGTTACAGTTATTTATCAATCAATCTGAAAAGTAACGAAGTTACCAAGTAACGCGTTACTTTCAGTAACTCGTTAAAGTAAAGTAACTTTTTTTTGTCGTTACTCCCAGCTCTGCGCTTCATGCACTAGTGCGTAAAGTAATCCACTTCACACACTAGTGTGTAAAGTAATGTCAATGACAGATGTCGACACTGTTAATTTGGCATTTTTCTGGTAAATTACTTCACGCACTAGTGCGTAAAGTGAAAATTATTTACGCACTAGTGCGTGAAGTATTTGTCCAAATTTATTTTTTTACACATATTTCATTGGTAGTATTATTATTAGGTCTTTATTTAGCATGTACGGCTAATTTACAAAACATAGAGTACATAATATAATATTCATATACAACTATAAATTGCACAGTGTATGTATACATAAAGCACACAATACAATACATGTCATCATACATTGTTATGTCTAATAAAATTTGATAAAATAAAATAAAAATAAGAAATTAAATTAAGATTATTTTAGGCACAGCTATAGAAAGTAAACATAGTTTTCAATAATAGTACGTAGTACATTGTCACACTGAACACAAGCTACAAACAGGGTATATTTACACATTCAGACATAAAGCACTCAACGATTCCTTTCTAAGCATCTCCAACAGCCACACATCAAGCTATCTATTTGTCGATTAATAACTTTTTCAGTTTCGATTTAAATATATTAAGCGTTGAGCTGCTTTTTATATCTATTTATTTATTTATTTATTTATTTATTTACGGGCAAGACCCATTAAAAGTTTCAAAAGAAAAAAAAAAACAACAAGAAACATTAAGTACCTTACAACTAAATAAACATAGGCCAGTAATACTTGGCGTAGTAACAGGATAAAAATACATATAAATTATTAACAGTAAAACATTAAATCAGTTATAGGTATAAGAAAATAGAGGACAAACATAAATAATGACTGATCAAGATGACTAGAAATTCTTAGCTATCGAACTTGGCATCACAAACAGACGAGGAGAATTACATTAGAGAGTTAAGCTCTCTTTTAAAGCTATTTATGGGTCCAAAAAAATCCAGGCTACCATGGGTGTTACATAATCGAGAAGTTCTGGAGATGAATGTATTGGTATCATTTGGTAGTTTGTTATAATTAATTAGGCCCTCGATTAGGCCAATATGGAATAATGCCTTTTCAGTGCTCTTTTTATTCTTGATTGCTACATGCAAATCATTCTGAGATCTTGTATTGTGATCGTGAACGTTACGGTTGTACAGCAGTTTCGATGACAAGTACATTGGTAGTAGAAAAAATTTTGTATGCAATACGTGCGTAAAGAACCTTTTTTCACTCATGTGATTGTCGCACTCGCCTTCGGCTCGTGCGTCAATATTCACGTTCGTGAAAAAAGATTCACTTCACACACTTGTTGCATAAATAACTATTTTCTATTTTGGTGTCATATCGAAGTCTTCTCGAGACTAAAAGTGGTTTCGAAAAGAAGCTCTTTGTGACACTCCTTTTTTACTTATCGTAAGTTGGTAACACTGGCGGACTGATGGTCATCGAACTGTCATTCGCGATTTTATAGAAGATTAATAGCGTTTTCCATTTGTCGAACCAGTGCAAAAAAATGTATCCTTATCCTTACATGTTACATGCTATTAGAAAAAGATGCGGATACACTCAGTGCGCACTGATTGACAAATGGAAATCGCCATTAATTATTCTATCTTTTGCATGTAGTGTTACCAACCTAAACATATGAAATCAGGAAATATGAGAATAAAATTTCCAAGAAAAATTTGTTTTTTTTAATTAAACAATACCAAAATAGAAAAAATAGTATAAAATATTCGTTTCATAAGACATTTTATCGCACTCGCCCTGTAAAAAACTCGCCTCCGGCTCGTTTTCTAATATTGGGCTCGTGCGCGATAAAATGACGTCTTATGAAACTTGTATTTTAATGTACTATTATAGAACCACATATCGATACAGTGGCGCAGCCAGGGGGGGCCAAGGGGCTCGGGCCCCCTCCCAAGGCTTCAGAGGAAAATAGAAAAATAATGAAGATGAAGTAGACAAAAGCTGTAAACTGCTATCATAAAAAGCTTATGGGGTGTAAACCAAAAATACGTATCTGGTTTATAATATGTAAAAAAACTCCAAGAACAACATCGAAAACTTCGCCTTTCTGTCAAATTTCTATCAAAAGATATCAGTCTTTAGTGTTTGCAACAAAATGTAGACGTGACGTCACATTCGCGCGTGGAACCCAACAGATTCTGCTTTTGTGTATGTACATACTTTGGTTCAAAACCAAAGCCATGTTTCGTTTCAGCTATTCAAGTCAACCCTTATTAAGTGAGAACGTAGGATTTTTTCACTCTGAGTCTACAGTATCCGAGCGGTTGTGACGTCACGCTTCCACGGTTAATTTGCAGATATCTCAAAAACCGTCAGGCATAAAATGGTGCGGCTTGAAATATTATTCTTAGAATTTGTTATAAAGAAATTTTGATTTACAATACACCCCCTCTAAAGGATAGGTGGTCTGTAATAACTCCTATATTTTTTTCTGCATGGCCCCCTCCAGACAAAATTTCTGGCTGCGCCACTGTCGATGATATCATCAGGACTCGACTTATTACTCATAGAGGAAATTACTTCCCTGTGAATATTTTTGTCAATAAAATGAAAGTTAGAAAAATGTATGTACATTACCACTATTTTCTGTAATAAATATTCTTTGGCTTAGCGGTATTGTCTGTACAATATCAGTAATGCTTTGAATAAAAAAGGTATTAAAATTTTCCACAATTTCAGACAAACTATTGGAAACGCTTCCCGAAAAATCAATTTTGTCTATTTTTTCTGTATTTTTTTGACCGATAATGTGTTATAATGATCTCCACATTGCCTTTGGGTCATTATAGCAATTATCCACCCTGTCCTGATAATATCTACAGATTTCTATTCTTATTATGTTTACAACAGCATATCTTGTTGGGTAAAGAATATTGGCTTGAAAACCGATACTAGATAATAATAATAATAATAAATGTGTTTATTCAGCAATCAATATGCTAGAAGATAAAAATATATATCCGTTTTTGATAAATTAATTGAAATGCATCAACTCTAGTATTATAAAATTATCGGTTCACGAGTCGGTTCATAACGTTCTTATGTTTTCAGATTCCAGCCCTCCAACTATCTATCAATCCAGGCATCCTCCTCTAAGCCTCTGACTCTCATTCTCTCGTCTGCTCTACTTCTCCAGCTTTTTCTTGGTCTGTTGCGTCTTTTTCTTCCTGGCTTCCACTAAATTATCAATTGCTTGGGTAGTCAGTTATCACCTTGGTTATCAGTTCTCCGTAGATTTCTCTTAGGCCTGGAGCTTTCGCATAACTTCTTTTATAACTCTTATTGGTGATGTTTTTATGTTTTGTGTCTGTTGTTTTTCTTCTTTATTAAGCTTTGCCGGTTGTTTTGTCAGTAATTCTCCAAAGTACTCTTCCCATTGCTGGGGTGTTATTGTCGTGATAATATTCTTGGTTTTTCTCTTCCTCATGTTTTTCTGTGTAATTTTGCGAATAATATATAGGGTACATACAGGAAAGACTCTTAGATAGATGGACTATGTGGTTTTTCCAGGTCAATCTAGTCTCAAACTGGACCCCCAGGAATTTAAGGGTATTGACCTTATCTCTCCCTTTTAGGGAGAAGGTTATGGTTTCAATTCTATCAAGGTTCAAAAAAAGGTTATTATCAACGAACCATGTGTGAAGTTTCTTAATGGTGGAGCTGGACAGTTTTGCAATGATGGTCAAGAAGGGTTGTGTCATCTGCATACTGTATTATTCACAATTCTGAAAAAGTATATGGTAGTTTATTCACATACAGTATGGATCCCTGTGGTACACAATAATTAATAGCGCTAGACAGCAACTTTCAATCTTTGATTATACTGACTGCAAACTTTATTGAATTTGAGCAAATATAGATCCACTGTATCTGTCACGGTTGTGAGATGGTGATCGGATCAGTATACATCCCTTCAAGTTCCCCTGAGATGACTTACAGGTCATTTGTTGTGTATGTGAATCATTGAAAAACAAGTATGCTAACAACCATCATATTCGGCGACTTCAATCTTCCCGATGTCAACTGGATCACAGAGGGTGCTGGAATCTACTCACTTCTTGGCCGAGCAGACTCTGATAGTACCTATGTTCTTCATGAAACTTCAGCAACTTAACTTAAAAATGTGAAAAACAGCTGCAATAGATCCCTGGATCTTATTTTCGCAACTGAACTTTCTCTAACCTGTGACCAAAACCAGTGAATTTCCGCTGTGTAGGGTAGTTGATATAAGAACATCCATTTTTGAAGCTTAGTTTCTCATACGGAAGTAGACAAAAAAAAGCCGAATATCCTACTTCTGTCTACCTAAACAAGCAAACTATATGGAACTGGACAATTACTTCAACAAGATTGACTGGAATCTGTGATTAAGTAATAGTGACTCTAATGAAGCGGTTGCTAGTTTGTACGAAGTTATACAGCAAGGAATTAATCAATATACAAAATATCAGGAAAACAAATATTTCAATTGGTTCAACAAAAAAGTTAATTGCACCTAAAAATCGACTCTATAAGAAGTACAGAAAATCAAGACGGCAAACGGACTATGAACCTTACTCTGAAGTCTGAGACCCGAAAAGACGTGTAGTACCGTAGTGACATGTGCTACCTGTTACATGTTATCAAAGCTCAGCATTTAATTCCGTCAAATGTGAAACACTTCTGGTCATTTATGAGATATTTGAAGAGAGATGCAATAAGCTTACCGAATCAGATGCATTTTAACAATATTCATTCTCAGATTGCTGAACTCTTTGGCACTCACTTCAAGAATTGTTACTCTGACCACGAGGAAGAATACTACTCGGTCTCTTTTGGAACATACCTCTCCGATCATCTCTTCATAGAGAAAAATTCTGGATCTCGATGCCTCAGATTCCTGGACCGGATGGTCTCTCATCAGTGTTTATTGAAGGCTGTTGCACTTTTCTAATAAAACCTGTGAAGTAAACGAAGCATCATTGCTGGACTTGTTTTTCGTTAGTGATTTCAAACTGGTTACCAGTAGTGAGGCTAAACCACCACTGGGAAAAAGCGACCATGTAATAATAAGTGCTACTACACAGATTACCACTCCATTCAAGGCCACCCATGTCACTAGAAAAATACACTTTTGGCAGCAGAGCTAGACCAATGTCAACGAATTCCTCCAACTCATAAATAACAGTATTTAATAGTAATAGTAATAACAGAAGTAGGACACTTTTCCCTATCCACAAATCAGGAGATAGCACTGATGTGAATAATTTATAGGAATCCATTCTAACAAATGATATGTATTTATGCTCTAGTAACTACATTGCTAATAAACAGCACGGTTTCTGCAAGGGAAAATCCACTGCTACAAATCTTGCTGCTTGCTGTCTACCAACAGTTCCTAACTAAAGCTCTAAAATCAGGAAAACAGGTGGACTTGATCTTCAGGGACATTTGAAAGGCTTTTGATAGTGTGTGCCATAAATTGTTACTAAAGAAACTCTCAGATATAGGTTTCCGTGCACGTTTCAATCTATAGAATCGTTCTTGACAGAAATATGTCAAAGATTTGGTGTATGCGGTGCAAGTATCCCACGAATTCATAGTTCCGTCTGGGGTCCCTTAGGCATCGCACATTGGATCGATTATGTTTGTTCTTTTTATAAATAACGTCATCCAATGCTTCCAATCATCTCTATGCTTACTCTACACTGACGACTTGCGCAGTTGTGGAAAGGCACTCTTAACTCTCTCCACCTGGATTTGGACAGGTTGATCGCTTGGTGCACCTCAAATCTTCTCAAACTCAATGTTACTAAGTGCAAACACATGATTTTTTCACAAGAACATAAATCCTTTACTGCCCACATACACCATTCAGAGACCTAGGAGTCACTTTTGAAAAAGACCTGTCTTTCAACAAACACATCGACAACATAGTGATAAAAAGTTCTAGACTTCTAGGTTTCATCAAACGAAATACCAGAGACATAATTATGTGATATAAAGTCCATTATCTGCCTATATTACAGTCTCATTCGATTTTTGAAGGAAAAAAAATATTCATTTCAACTTTTTGTTTGAAATTTTTCAACCAATCACATTAATTTATGTACAGTGCTCGTTATCTCATATTGATGCAGTTTAATTAATAATTTTTCCCTATCAACTGTTACTGTTTCAAATGCCCGTTTTAAGTCTAGAACTACAGCCAAAACAATTATTCGACTTTGTCTAATTTTTTTTTCACATTTCAATGGCTGATTCAATTGCTATTTCTGTTGAATCACCAATTGATGATTCCATTAATATGGTGTATTCATTTTAGCTAATGGTCTACGATGTCCAAACTCATAAATTAGATCAGATACCATCCCTTATCAGCAGTACTAGAAGGGAAATTCAAAATAACAATGAGCAGCCTTGTGGTATTCATTCAGTCCAACTTAACCCGTCAAGAACTTTGCTGGCAACTGGAGCAAGAAATACTTGTGACGTGGCTGTTTATAGAATGCCCACATTAGATCCGGTTTGTGTTGGTGAAAACGCTCATAAAGATTGGGTAATGATTTTTTGTTGAATAATGTAATATTTGTGATAATAGTGCCTAATGAGATTATGTTTTATAGGTGTTTGATATGTGTTGGCTAGACGATGAGTTTTTAGTTTCCGGCTCGAGAGATACAAAATTAGCTCTGTGGAGAATAACAGATGATATTTTAGAAGCTAAAGATGAAGTGCCAACACATAAAATTATATCGCCTCAATCTTTGAAGGATTGTAGAAATTCACAGAAAGTAAGCATACAATTTTCAGTAAACAAAGTTTAGTTTCTTTACAATTTTTTTTAGATTAGAGCAATAGCATTCAATAAATCTTACCAAGAAATAGCGGCCTTGAGCCTTAACGGTTACATTCATATTTGGGATGCCGAAAGGTTTCAGCAAAAAATATCTCGGAAACTGCCAAGCTCTCAGGAAAATGTATGCATGGCTGTACAAGAAAATGGAAGCGTTTATGCTATTGGTTGTCGATCTTATACACTTTTATTGGATTGTCGAACACTACAGGTAAAAATATATTTATAGAATCAACATACAAGGTAATTTAATTTTTCCCTATCAATTTTAATATTTTTCATAGGCCATCAAAAAAGTATCATCACGTTACTCCGGTTGTGGTATTCGATCTGCTACGTTCCAAGGAGACATTCTAACAGTCGGTACTGGTTTAGGGATGTTAATGTTTTACGATTTGAAGGCTGGAAAATACTTGGAAAGCAGCATTAATACTTCTAGAACTGTTATATTAAAGGGTAGCAAAGGATATGTGGTGAGTACTTCAAAAAGTAACTTCAATTAGGCTCTATGTAAAAAAACTATTTTTTTCTACAAACGTCACTAAAAGTGTAATTTTTAACGGATGCTGTCAATGTCTAAAATGCCATTTTATGACACTGGTGTTAAAAGTGATTACTTTTAGCACTAGTGCTAAAAGTAATCACTTTTAGTGCGTTTGTAGAAAAAATAGTGTATGATATTCATGCTAAAAGTGATTTTATTTTGTTCAAAAGGATGGAACACTCCGCCTTCGGCGTCGTCTCCCAAACGTCCCTTTTCACAAAATAAAATGTCACTTTTAGCACTTATAACATAAATAACTATTGTGTTTTTCAGTTCCCTGATGAAGAATACATGGACAATGCCCAAAATGTAAAATACGTACCGGCCATCTATACACATTGCTACGATTCCACTGGGACGCGGCTGTTCACAGCCGGAGGGCCTCTTCCTGCAACTTTAACTGGAAATTATGCAGGATTATGGCAATAAAAATTTACGTTATAGGGTAGCTATAATTAAAATTTCACCTAACGGTTTAAGTAAGCAATTTAAGGGCGGCCAAGTGTCTGAAAAATGTTTTAAGTTCCTTAATTGCAGATTTGTGATTTTTACATGTTCGTATAAGTCGTTGACCGATTAGCACAGATAGCATAAAATATGAATTGCTTACGCCAAGACATAATTACGATGTAGGTATTAATTATAAGGAAACTAGACAGAATTTAAGCAAAATGGTTTGAATCCTCAGTCTATCTGTGCTAATAGTTCATTGGTATACAAGTAGTTGTTTTTTAAAAACATTTAGGATAAACATATATTTTAAGGCATATGTATAAATATTTTAATTGTCTATTCATTTTTTTTTTGCAAGCTTAATGTGAGGAAAAATCATCTCCGTTTTTGTGATGCATTTTTAATTTAGATGCCGATTTTTTTTAATTTTAGGTGTTGAGGTGGATATATTTGCATATTTCGGTCTTTTATTTAATTTAATCTAGCATTGTCATTTGAATGTCATTAGGTCCTTCATAATAGCACTAGTGCGTTTAAGAATTCATAATAACACCCAAATTTTGAAATGAAAAATATACAAAAAGAAAGTTAGTTGCCAGAAGAACCTTTTCAATAATGCTGTCTCTATATTCGAAGAGACACTTTCGAACTCAGAATCACCAATAATAATATTATTTTCCACTATAAAATTGAATTTATGGCACAAAAATGGACTCCAATATTGAAGCTGCCAAAGTCAAAATTCTAAAAACCAACAAGCAGGTTTTCGACTAGTACGGGCACCTGCTAAATTTCAAATTTTAATTTGAAAAGTTTTTGCTATTTCAAGGCAAATCAAATCTATTTGGACCATTGTAGATTAAATTTTGAATGATACACGTTCGATATGAACTTTATTAATGAAACTTGTGTAACTAAACCACTCGGCTAACGCCTCGTGGTTTAACGTTACACGCGTTTCATTATGGCGTTCATATCGAACTTGTATCATTAATAACTATCTTGCGTTTCTCACCATTTAACCATGCGATTTCTTTCTCGTAATGTTATAGGTATGACCAAGAATAATTTTTTTTAATGTTAATTTTATCATTGGATTGGTACATTTTTGGTAAATTCGAAAACTGTGTATAGGTTTAAGTTATACATCAGTTGAATTCATTTATCATATTTTTCTTCAAACTTCAACAAGCTTATTTCCTACCAAGTAATTTTTTGATGTTAAAGTTTATTTTGTTTGACGGTGACTATGAAACTAAAAGTACTTTTAATGCCGTCGAGGGCAAAGGTAAAAGTACAACTCAAACTTTTGTCATTTATGTATTTGGGGTAAAAGTTACTTTTGTAGCGCATCTGTCATGCCAGACTTGACATAAAAGTATCACTTTTACTCCTAATAAAACCACATACCTACATATTTATTGCACCATATTGTAGACTAGATTCTTTTAAAATTTTCCCTTGATTTTGTTTATTGGTTTTAATTGATTGGACTTAAACATTGATTAAATATACATATTTAGAATCAATCTTTTAATAAACAATATCTCAATAGTTTGTGAAAAAACCGTCTATTTTTCTTTGAACCTATATCTACCTGATTCCTTGAAAGGTTTGAGCTAAAATCTCAATATCAGTTGAGTCGAGGAGCTTATGAATGACGCCTTCCAAATTATAAACAACATTTTGAAAATTTGTTTTTGCCTCTTTCATATTGATGTTGCTGGGCTAAAAGCAGAATCTGGAACAAAATTTTAGAATCTGTAGATTTTTATTTCAGCATTTCTTGAATCACTGAAATTGATGCATGAAATTTCAATTAATTTAAACTACATATTTTAAAATAAATTAAGCAAATCATATACAGGGTGTAACAAATTCGCGAGTATGTATGAAGATCTCTATAATTATAGGAGATACAGGATCGGTTAAGTTACGCAATTTCTTGCATACACTATTAAAAAGAGCATTAAATTATCTATAAATCTGTGCTGAATTGAGTTTGATATCTCAAATACTTAGGAGCTACAATTCCTGAACATTTTGATTCAGTATCTTCCACGGATTTCAAGATATTGACGCTTAAAAATTTTGAAATAACAATCCAAACGAGATAGGTACCTACTCTTTGAAAAAAATCGATAAATTTTATTTTTCATATTTTGCGAATTTTAACTTTTCCAATCGAAAGAGTGGGTCTAAATTAGTCAAAAAACAATCCATCATCATCTTCAAATGACCATTTCAAACAGAAAAAAAAAATCAAAAAGGAAATCCTATTTTTGGTGAAAATTATGAGAAATTGCCATAATATGATGTGAACGCACCCAAAGCTAGCCAATGCAAGTTGACTTGATTGGTCATAAATGGCGCTCTATATCAACTCAATCGAAATAACTGGGTTTACACATCTTTTAATGAAAATCCAAAAATAAAATCTCATTTTTTTCTGACAAGGTTAAGAAAAGGTGGCCCAAAAAACGAAACATCGGTGTTCAAATTTGATAATGCCATATTGTAGTATAACAGTGGCAATAATGAAGTGTCATTTATTAAGAATTTTCCAAATTTCGAAATGGTATTTTCAATCAATCAATCAATCAATCAAAATAGCTTTATTGATATGAGAAAAAATCAATCTCATTACCAAAGCAACTTTAAACTAGCAAAAAAGTAAATACACGAATTGAAATTAAAAATTCTTAAATTGAACAAATCATATTGAAATAAACAACATAAGTACCAGTACAGACAAGTGAACTACTCACACAACCATAAAATATCATGTAATAAAATGACGAGAACAATAAATAAAATTTAAAATAAAAATAAAAAAATGTATAAAAATTCAAAAATAAACAAAGACTGAAAAACAATAATAAAATAGGAACAAGATAAGTAAACCAGTAGACGGTCTAAAATTGCTCCTCAAAATATTCTGTCACACTGTATAGGTTTTCTTTAATAATAGCTCCTTCACAGCCAATTTAAATCTTTTTAGGGATTCTAGGGATCTTATGCTAATATGCAAATGGTTATACATTTTTTTACCAGTGTAAAACAAAGAATTCCTCACAAGTGCAGTATGAGGTATAGGTAAAGGTATAGTGCCTATTTGACGCGTATTATAATGAGACACACTTGTCTCTCCTCCAAACTTCTTAAACATTAAACAGTCTCCAAAATAAATATACCCGTCAGGGTCAGAATGTTATTTTGAATAAACAAGGGTTTACAAGATTCCCTAGCCCCAACCCCGCACATATACCTGACAGCCCTTTTCTGCAGAACAAAAACAGAATTGATCAGAGAAAGGCTCGAATTACCCCAGAAGCAGATTCCATATTTTAAATGGGACTCAATAAGTGCGGAGTAAACCGATTTTGTCATACTTAAATTTAGTTCCCTTGATACCACCCTTACCGCAAAACACCCCGAGGCCAATTTGTTACACAGTTTCATTATGTGGTTCCTGAAAGACAACCTATTCTATATTTATACCTAAAAATTTTACATTTAAGTTGTTAGAGATTAGGCTACTGCCAAGGTTTATATCACCTATATGACAATTAAAGTTCAAAATATTAGTTTTCGGAACATTGAAAGTAAGGCGGTTTGCATCACACTTTGGCCAATTCCTCAGAACTCTTGCTGTGCCACAATATTGTGGTATCATCAGCGAACACTGTAAATTTACCTCTGATGTTAAGGGAGGTCATATCATTGATATAGATCAGAAATAAAATGGGTCCCAATACCGAACCCTGAGGCACTCCCGCTTCTATACCGCATTGCCACTTGTCCGAATTGGCACCATGTAGCCTAACATGCTGGTTCCTGCCCGAGAGATAAGACCCAAACCAACTCAACGAAGTACTCCTGAAACCATACCGTCCAAGCTTCTGCAACAGTATTCCATGATCCACACAGTCAAAAGCTTTTAATAGGTCACGAAACACTGCCGCAGATCCAGCTGCATTCTTACTCTTAATATCCTTAAAAGTCTGCTCAATTTCCCTCAAGTCCGTAGGTGCAAGAAAAAAAGACTGAAAAACACTAACACTCTGTAGAAAGTCCAATGGATTGCACCGAGGAACAATACCACTTGCAAGCTTCCGAGCAATGGAGCAGTAAAATTTATTCAACTCATTAGGCGTTACGTAGTCAGTCCGGGCCTCAATCCTACTATGCTTTCCTCTTAGTTGATTAACAGTTTTCCAACTCTCTCTTTGCCCATTCTGAGAATTGACTATGCGATTTTCAAAATAAGTTCTTTTGGCTAGTTTCAATGTTTTACGATAAAGTGACCTATATCTATTAAAATATGACACAAAAAACTCACAGTCCATAAAATATTCACCCATATAATGTAAAGCCCGAAGATTCCTGTCAGACCTTCTAATTCCCCCAGTAATCCATGGTTTCCGCCTCCTGTTTCTAATCCTCACAACCGGAAAACAACGTTCAAAAACATCAGTCAACAAGACATGGAACTTGCTCAAGGGATCCTCAGTACGAAAAGTACCCAACCAGTCCAGAGTTAGGCAGCATTGGTAAAACTTATTAGGCCTGTTCGCACAGAAATCACCAACTAGTCAGAGCGAATTTCATTGGTTGAAACTAGTTTTCTGACTGTTTCCAACCAATGAAATTCGCTCTGACTGGTTTGTGATTGCTGTGCGAACAGGCCTATTAAAATTTCTCCCTGAAAAAATCCTACCTCGCTCCTCCGACCGCGGAGCTCTCCGGCCACAAACCGGTATGCTACAAAGCACAGCCTCGTGATCAGAGAGGCCCGCACTCACCACATTACAGAAGACATCATCCAAACTGGTACAAATATACTCCTGGACAAAATTATCGCACCACTGCTTATGGTGATGCTTATGTGCAGTGGTGCAATAATTTTGTCCAGGAGTATGTAATCCAAAACAGAAGCAGAACCATTTGTGATTCTAGTTGGCGAATGAACATGCATCTTAAGATTAAATGATTTTAACAAATGCTTCAATGCCAGAGTGCATGAAGAATCTTCACTGTCATAGTCAATGTTCAAATCCCCTGTCAAGACAACACTGAATTGAGGACAGAGATTCGACAAAAGAAACTCCAACCTCTCCAAAAATACAGTCCCACTACATTGGGGCGGACGATATATAGAAACTAAAAACATATTCAATTTTTTACACTCACAAACAGACAATTGAAACTCTTTCTCAACAATCAAATCTTGAAACCTTAGGCTATTCTCAAATTCAAATTGCCTAGAAAAGTTTTTGTTTATTAAAATTAAAGTACCCCCATGAATAGAGTTCTTTCTACAATACACTGATACTAAACTATAATCTGGTATAGAGATAGGTTCCCCATCTTTAAGCCAGTGCTCCGTTATTATTACAAAATCCGGAAAATTACAGCTCTCTTAAAACACCCAAAATTCAACAATTTTATTGCGAATTGATTGTATATTTAATAATAACAGGGATATGCTCTAGCCTAAAAAAGTACTTCTATTCATAGCCGTTGTGGCGAATATATCCTCAGCGATCAGATTATCTTCACTTTCCCCCTTCCCGTTTTCCGCTGTAGGAACCTGTGATAAATTAAGTATACCTTAATCATTGTTACCAGAGGCGTCAAGAAATATACTACTAACCTGGACACCACCATCTACATTCTGCACCTGTTCCAGAGGATCCGACCAATGTAGGGATTTAAGATTTATTTGCCCATCATCAGACAAGATCACATTCCCACTGGCCACAGTCACATTAACTATATTGAAGTGTACCGACTTAGTTACGTAGTTAACCAATAGTTTGCCAAAAGTAGAGCCATTATGTCTGTGACCACGTCCTATCCTAAAGTTATCTATCACCCTAATTGAGACATTATTTCTAGTGGTGAAGTCACCAAGATGAGCATATATTCTTCTGTACACGGGGCTATTTAAAACACAATCATTATATCTAAAACATATGTCCCTAGCAATTTCTTTCAATGGTGCATTCGATTTGATGAGACTTGAAACCTCAAAAGGCAATCCACTAAGCTGGTTGTACAAAACCGGTACTACAATTTTTCCCACTCTCGTCACCCAGAATTAAAACTTTACGGCGAAAGTCCTTATTTGGAGAGACAGGCTGTACCTCCAGAGCCGTTCTCCCAACACAAACATTATCAGCATCATCCACCACTGTTTGCGAACTCTTTAAGCTCCTTGAAAGTTCATCTTCCAGTTCCACCAACTGTTTAGCATAGAATTCATTTTCTGCCGTGAGTACCTCTATACTGGTCACCAATTTTTCTCTTAATTCTTCCAAATTCCATATTTTATCTTATCCCGCAGTGTCAGATCTAAATGAGCAACTCCTAAAACATCTTCATCAGACTGAGCATATGGACTTGTTGTTGAACGCAGAAAAGTGGGATTAAATTCCGAATCATTCTGCTTGCCTTGTGCTTCGATGGCGGATATTTTAATTCGGACTCAGTCTGTGAATCGCCTTCCCTGACAAATCGCTCAGTTTGCACTGCCAATGAAAACATACCAAATTTAGACTTGGCGTCTTCAAATTCCTTTATTTTACTCCTAAGTTCTCTGTTTGTAACTTCAAGCCTTTCAATTTCCCCAACATAGCGATCTTCAGCATTCTGAACCTTATCCATGAAGTCCTGTGTAAGTCTACGTTGTTTCTTTAAATGCTTTTCCAGCTGTGCGATGTTAGCAAGGGCCTCCCTCAACTCGATTTTCAGGCTCTCAATTTTGTCATCCTTAGCAGTCTCTGTTTGTAGGAAGGATAAATCCTTTGAGTTAATTTCCATCTTGAGTTTCGAAATTTTCAAATTTAAATCCTCTGTCAAGTTTTTTTTTTCTCCAAAATTGTTCTCCGGCATTCGTCCGAGCAGACGATTCGATGTGCATCAATCAGCTCAATAGCCCTTATACGCCCTCCACAACTTTGATGGAAGACATTGTAATAATTGGTACAGACAAAACTGTTGAAAGGCTTCCTGCAGCATTTAAAGAAAGATGCGGATACCATAATAAAAACCAGGACTTCACAGAAAGCGTTATAACAAGTGAGCAAGAAATTGTGTAACTTTGCCCCAAATAAACCGATCCTGTATTCCTTATGCTAATTGACTAACTGAGATCCCTATACTTACTCACGAATTTGAATACCCTGGTTAAATTTCTTAAAATTAGGAAACATCATAAAAAGAATTCTGATGTGGAATTCCAGAAATATCTGATAAAAATAACTGTGATTTCGCTTTCCTACAAACGACTGCCACCTTTTAGGAAAACATCTGAAAATTATCAAATTTATACATGCCGAAATAAATACATATTATGTATTTTTTTGCATATTGCCTTAGTTCAAAATCATGAAAAACTGTAGTGCTAGTATTGAAACAAATTAATATTTGAAGAAAAAAAACTGCTTTCCCTACTTAGACGGCAGGAAAACTGATACCAAACTCAAAGGAATTGAAGGATTTAAACAACATATATTAATTCAAAAGCAATATATTTGTTGTTAAAAATAGCATAACATAGGAAATGTATCTAATATATTTCATAAGTACATATTACTTTATATAACATTATATAGGTAAAAAAATTGCATATAACATAAGAGCCAAAATGTATCAAATACATCAAGTATAATTTTAAAAGCAGGTTACTTACACCTATGAATTAAATTATGACATAGAATCCTAACAAAAGCTCTATCTACAGTTTTCAGATTATCAACAACTTCAAATTTTTTGTCATCATCAATGATGCTAGCGGCAATATAACAATTAATATCGCTTTTGTCAGCTTTCAACAAATAAAATGCAAATTGATTGGAGAATCCATCAATATTTAAGCCATATTCATAAAACTGTCTAACAGTTTCGAGTAATAAATTGTTAACAAATGGTCCATATTCAGTAATTAATTCACCAAGACTTTTACTGACCTGTTTTGCAAATTCATCAATATTAGGATTTTTCTTGTATAAAATCATGAATTTTAGTAAAATATATTCAGAAAAGCTTTCCTCGTGTTTGAAAGTTCGTTCCCAGTAGGTTTCAAAAAGGTTGAAAAACGCAATATCCATTTCAACAAAAATTGTTAAAATATATTGGAAAAAATCAATAATGTATCTTTGGTTGTCATCGTAGGTTTCCCAATAACGATCTTTATATGATTGAATAATGTCAAAAACAAACTCAAAATGTTTATCATCTTTATAAGCCAAAAGGTATTTGACTACAAAAGAAAATACGCCATCTTTATTCATGAAAGTGGAATCATTAGAAAAGAAGCATTTTTTTAAAAGCTTTTGACAAAAACTATCTTTAAGGCTCGAATAGAACTCTATGTCATATTTATTGATAGCTGAAAATAACTTTGTTCTATGATTACTGACATCGAGATCTTCTCGCTTTTCTATATCAGTCAAGTAATCCCATGTATTTTCGAAGTAAATTGGTCTCCATTTTATTGGAACTTTTTCAAAACTTTTAGCCAAATCTTCCAATAATTCTTTGTCGTTTTTGTCAATAAATGACATGCTTTTACAGACTTTATATAACACAGATTCCTCAGGATTCTTTAGGAAATATTTTAGTATTCCTTGGAATAGATATTTTTTAGCAGAAGTATTTGTCTCTTTTGCTGCTAAAGTATCAAATATAACCAATGCCGATTTTTCAGGCAAAATATTAAAACCCAAAAAAACAGCATGTTTTCTTGTTGAAACAGCTCGCTCCATTAGAGTATTAATTAAAGGAGCTGCTTGTGTTTCACTGATTCTATACAGGGTCTTATAAAGAATAGCTAAGCTTGATTGTAAATAATCACCTTGACAAAATGGATAAAGTAGTGGAATTATTTTAGCAAAGTCGTCTAGATTTGTAAGATTTTTTGACAGAGCACACTGAACTTCATACATTTCTTTTTGCTGTTCATCTTCAAGATCAAGCTTAGCCTTTGTTGGTATATATGCTGATATAAGATTTATAAAATCCTCTGTTCCCATAAGCTTTGACAAATTTTCAATAACCTGTTTTTTGTTTTCACAAGTGCTTCCAATATCCACAAGCGGTTTAACGTGGTTTATCAACTTTTCATCAAAACCTACATGACTATACAATTTAAAAAGATGATAATCCACCAGTGAATTATCGTCTTCAGTTTGCAAAATTTTGTCAAAGTATTTTAAAATTACTACAGGCTCATTTCTAATGAAATACTCAATAGCTCTTTTCCTGTCAAAGGCGTCTAACAAAAAGATTAGTTCATTGAAAAAGGATTCCAGTAAATTCGCTTCAAATTTGGTAATTCTTAAAAATTTTATGGTATCTAATAAGGTGTTGAAAAGCCTGCCAATCCAATTTTTAGTTTTCTCGTTACAGATGGCCTTCACAATTTCAAGAAGTTCATTTTCACAAACCTAAAAAAAGGGGAAACTAATTGATGGTTATATTTTATTCACATAAATGTAAACCAACCCAGGGCGTTTATCTCTTTCCCAGGTGGTTCACATTATATTGTTATGACCATTAGCTGATCAAAAAAAAATTATGAGAATCCTGTTTATTGGATAAAAAAAGGTAGAACGATAACCAAATTTTAAACTTACTTTGACAGGCATCCGATCATAAAGACCAAAATTGTTCAAAATCAGCTTTTCAATGAATGTTACATCATCATCATCGCTAACATTCTTTTTAGCAAATATTTCTTGCAGATACTCTGTAAATATAGGAACTTCATTCAGATCTATCCAAAAATCGTTGTATTTCTGGTTGAAGTCAAAAATTTCTTTTAGCAACCAAGTAGCAATTTCTTTCCTCTGCTTTCCAACCAAAGCGGGTGCAAGTTTATTTGCCATATGTATCATTAGAACTCTCTTAACTTCAAAATCATCATCAAAATAGTTTAAGTTGGATTCTAAAACGTATTTTTGCTTTAGAGAGTTAGTGAAAAATTGTTCTACTGTTTTTTCATATGGCAAATTCTTTTTGATAAGGAATGTTATATACTGCGACATATTTCTATATGGTAAATGATCTCCCTTTGCTCTGCTCAGTTCTACAAAATCATTGAGACATTTACAAAAACCCTCCGTTGATAATTCATAGTCAATATCCTCTACGATGGTTGAGAAAAATTCTTGACAAGTATATGTGTCCTCATTTTTATGCCGGGACAAGACATATTTTAGTACTTCTTCGTAAGTTTCATAATCTTTATTAAACGAACAAACTTTCATCATGTCTTGAACAAAAGCACATCTTTTTTTTCTATCACTTGTAACATTGATTTTATCTTTCAATAAAGCAATAGCTTCTTTTGGCTTATCAAAAAACTTTAAAAACTTTGTATCATCACTTTTTTTATATTTGATAACTGCCCATTTTGCTCGAACATTAATCGGTGCTGATAACATAAAATGTTCATTCAATATTTCAAGATGATCTAGAACATCAGTATCATAGGCTCTTTGAAAAGCTTCAGAAAATACATTCCAACGAATTTTTTTAGGGTATTTGTTGAGGAACTTTTCAATTTTTGTTTTCAAGTTCCAATCATTTATCTCATCAATCTTTTTGGGAAAATACTTATGTAGATACTCTTTGTGAAAATCTTTCACATTTCTTGTAACAACACCAATATGGAACCGTTTAGGTAGTTGCTCAGTATTTTCCAAAATGTCTTTTTCATTAGTTTTTAATAATGCTTTAGTTGTTAGTCTACCAGCGTTTAGAGGACAATCCAAATAAGTCATAAACTCAGAGTACAAGTGAGGATATTTCCAAACTAGATAAGATAAAAAATCTCCATTATCAGTATTATCAGCAGTGGAACCAAACATTCTTCCATGGTTTTTCTTGTATTCATCAAAATAGGTTTTAACTAAGTTACTGTCCTTTGCCAGTATTCGTTTAAGCTGTTCTATACTTAAAGTGATTTTGTGGGTTTGAAAAATTTCAGATATTTTTACTGAAGTACAACCAAACAAAAACTGTTGTGCTAGGAATATACCATACCTAAAAAATTTACATATTTTAGGGGAAATTTTAATCCAGAAGTATGAAGTTAAACATTTGTTCAAACATACACACTACCATACTACTATTGTTAAGTTTAAAATCTGCTTTCTGGAATCACTTAACATTAGGAAGGTAGGTACATAAATAAATGCTTTAAATAGTTTAAAAAATCAATATCAAAAACTTACCTTTCAAAGATATGATCAAACATTTTGTCATTCCTCTCCTCACTAAAAGCCAAACTCATCTTTTTCAAAATTTTCATTCTCAATGAAAAAGACAGACAAGGTAGAAATTCATTCACTATATTTTCCTCGCTCATATCTTTGAATGCTTCTTCGAAAAACCATTTTTGTTTTATGATTTTGCTAGTTAATAATCCATTACCTTCAAGAAAAATTAAAATGTGTCACCCTTTTAAAGTATTAAGTAAGTATACCGGGTGTTTTTCAAAACCCGCTCACCCCTATAACTTTTTAATTTTTCCAAATAAACAAATGAAATTTGGTGTGTTTATTTATGACCCAAATGTGCATTATTTGACGTATTCAATTATTTATTATCACTTCCGGTTTGACCGGAAATTACCGTAACTTTCTTATTTTAAATGAGACGCCAGGAATATTTTCTTTTATTTCAATAGAAAACTACATTACGAGAACAATGACACTTCATTTGTCAGTTTTTGACATTTCATCTCCAAATTATTTAAATTTTTACTTTTTAATCTAGAGCGCCATGAATTAGTTAAAATGCTTAATTTTGCTTCATGGAATCTGGGAAAATTTGTTTTGATCTTATTTTGTATTTTATATCCTCAACAGACTCATTTAAAGATACTAGAAGCGCATTTTTGGAATTAAGGTACCTGTCCCAAATAAGGCCATGTTAAGAAGTTTTATTTTTTTCCTAACATTATCCACCAAACCCAACCAAAATCACCAGCTTATATGTGAAGTGTTTCGCTTCTATTACTTGAATATTAACTCCAATTTATTTATTTTTTCATATAAGTGGTGGTTTTTGCGTAAAACAAAAATGCTTACCATTGGCCTTATTTGGATCACTATGCTCCTAATAAGGCCACTTTTAAAAAATGTTTAAAATAAATACAAATATTTATAAAAATATTATTATTTGTGAAATAGTACAGAAAATAGAACTTATACGTTTGCTGCTTTCCTAAAAAAACAGTAATTCCAAGTCCTGGGATGGTGATCTAAATAAGGTCTGCATACAACTAGGACAAATGAACCGCAGCATCTCTTGCTTGCATAGACTCTAGGCATTTCAAAAAACATCACTCAGATAATAATATGAAACATTCTTTTAAAAAAACACTGTTATGTCAGGCCAATTGATTTTTCGTATGATGGCCTTATTAGGAACATGTTAAATTCATGAAAAAAAGTCTGTAACTAGAAATCTAGCAAAGATATTATTCTGTACCCACTCTCAGAGCTGTCGCAATTACTCTTCTCAAGTAATTGAATTACAATTACCAATTACTCTGGCATAAAAAAGTAATTACAATTACCAATTACTTATAGACTGTCAAAATGTAGTTCAATTACCAACTACTGTTGAAAGTAATTGATTATGTATGCAAATACTTTTTTTGAATTACTTATTTATTTGAATTACTTTTTGAGTAATTAAATTACTTTTCAGTAATTGAATTACGCATAAAGTAGTTGAATTATTCAATTTTTCAATTATTTTAATTCAATTACTGACAGCTCTGGGTATGCTTTTGACGGCAGGCCGACAAAGGGCGAAAAAAGAAAACAGTTGCTAGTCGTTCTCACTCAAACCAGATCAAATTCCGCCAAAGGTGCTATAGAATTTGAAATTTCAATTATTACTTTTCCGTAGTTCAATTCATAAAGGTAATTCAATTACCTTTAAACTAATTAAATTATTTGTAAGTAATTCAATTACTCTGAAAGTAATTGAATTACCTGAAAATTGTTAAAATCAATTACCCATTACAATTATTTCATCTCAGTAATTTAAAATCAATTACAATTACTATTTTTTTTCGGTAATTGAATTCAAGTAAGTAATTCAATTACGAAAAGTAATCAAAAACAATTTTTCAATTATTTTAATTCAACTACCGACAGCTCTGCGGCCACTCTGTAGCTTTCTTAATACATAAATGTTCCTTAAAAAATTACAATCGTTCCATTCACTTTATAAACACGTATGATAAGCTAATTGAGTTCCAGCCTCAAAGTTATAACGTGACATATGAAATATGTCGTTGGCCATTTTTCGACATATGACAAGTTGCTAGGAACTCTTGCAATAATTTTTGATTTGCATTATAGATTTCTTTTTTAATAATATTGTAATTTTTGAAAATGGGATTCAATATTAGGCAATAAAGAGCACTGGCCTTATTAGGTACATGGCCTTATTTGGGACAGGTACCTTATATCAATTTTTTCAAATGGAAAGGGTATGGCTCATTAGCATATTCCGAGGGAGCATTTTCTAACGAGAAATTTATACCGCACTATCGAAAAATAAAAAAGTTATAGGGGTGAGCGGATTTTGAAAACACCCGTTATAACTTGTACCTTCTTTTAAAATTTCTATCAGCTTATCAACTTTCTTGGTACGAATCACTAAATCAACATAAAAAATATTCTCAAGATAATTTCTTGGTTTTATGTCCACTTCTGCTAGAACCTCTGGATTAGTGTAGTGTAGCAACTTGAAGAAGTTGCCTTTTCTCTCTTTACAATGAATGCCTTCCAAATTATAGAATTCATCTAAAAATTCTACTTTGGCCTTCTCCATATCGCTGTTATTCGAGTTTCTGAAACAAAATGTACTATTTGACTTGATAATTTATAATGAAATCTTTTTTAATTCAAGACCAATAATACATTTGCTTATTAGTGGGCCTTTCCTTATTAAAATAGGGGTGAAATGAACAAGAAATAACTGAAATATTTACTGACTGGAAGGCAAGCTGAAAGCAGTGAATTACCTACTCTGCTTAACTTATGGGGGAATCTTATGTAGAAAAAAAAAAACCCTAAGCCAAATCCAATTATAAAATGATTTTGGCCTCAGATTCAGGGACGTCACGAAGACATTTTATTGGGGGGGTGGAGTAGGTAAAATCTCCCAACTGGTTCTTCTTAAAAATCCCAACTATTGGGCTATGAAAATTGGTTGCAGATAAAAAAATTTATTTGCTTTAAATGTGAAAATTACAAAAGAAACATAATAGCTATTTATATAACAAGTACATAAAGTAAGGCTTTATTGTACGAATAATTTTATGGCCGAGCGAGCTTGCGAGCGAGGCTATTAAATAATGAGTCAATAAAGCCTGTTTATGTAAGCGTTATATACATGATTTTATGTACGATTGCGACTGATTTTTGTTAAAAATTAAAAAAATTTAATGAAAAAAGTAGAATTCGCGTAGTTTCACCTTGGCAGGTTGTCAGGACCTGTTTCACCTTGGCAAGTTGTCAGGACCTGTTTCACCTTGTTAGGTTGTCCAGGTAGGCAATAAAGTAGCACTTTATTTTACTAGTAAAATAAAGTAGCACTTTATTTTACTAGTACAATAAATAGCACTTTATTGGTCAATCGGACATAAAACATTTTTCTGGAATATCTGGAAACAAAGGTAACTATAGGTACGCAATAATGATGCAAAAAAGGGAATCAAATAAAAGTGAGCTTAATTTTTTTTTAGATTTTATTTTGTGCTTTTAGTAGTTAACTAAGGGGTCTTATTGCAGAATATGTCAGTTGGTAACAATTAGCTACCAACCAACTGACAAGAGGATTTTATTTTAGATGGTTTGAATATTTTGAAGGTATACCAATAGTACTTTGAAAACTGAATTTCACTGAAAATTGTTGAAGAATGTGCTTCATTCTTCAACAATTCTGTGTGGGAGAATATGACATTCACACCAAAATCGAGAAAATTATAGAAAAACATTGCTGGGACATTTACGTTAAAAAAATCATAGTCACCTTTGAAGACCCGTTTTTGGCGAGACTACACCATTTCAACCACAATTTCGGAAAAAGTAACTTTTATTTAGGAAAATGTAAAGTCCATTTTGGAAAAAGTCAAATTAAATAAATGCAGAAAAAGTAAAGTTAATTTCGGAAAAAGTAAAGTTAGTTTCGGAAACGGTAAATTCAAATTCGAAAAAATTGATAAGTATTATTTAAACAAAAAATTAGTTAGTTACATAGAATAATAACAATATTAAAAACTATACACAAATATTAAGAAAATTACATACTCCTAAATATTATGTTCCCGGATTGAAATCATTCAGTCTCATAACTTCAGGATAATGCCTCTGGACATGATTATATGATTGGACACATATTCCAGCATTTATTTATTTATTTATTTATTTATTTATTCAATTAAAGTCTTATAAAACACCTGAACAGTAATTATATCATAAGACTACTAGTAGCCAAAAAGTACTACCTACAAGCAATGCAACTGCCTAGAAAATAAAAAATAAAAATGTAAGTATCACAATGGAATTGAACTTAAATTAAGAACAGCTAAGTAAAAACAATAAAATAGAAACACAAGACAATCAAAAAGTTGCTACACTTCTACAATATCAACAAAGTTAAAAGTTATATGTCTAAAAAAATGAAAAAAATACAAGAAATCAAGCGGCAAACCATTATCAAGTCTAAACTAATCCTTTTAATTCACTAACGGTAGTGTTAAAAATGTCAACATCATTATTCTCGATTATTATGGCATTACAGTGCTCCAACATTTGGTTTAGAGGGCTATCTAGTGAAGACCTTATACTAAATAATTTACTACAATTAAATCTAAGATTTACCTCAGGAACGTGAAAATTAACATCATTAATCATTGCACAATTTTGATACTTAACATTGTTCAACAAATAAAACATAAAAATCACAGAGTGTTGTCTTCTTCTATCACAAAGTCTTTGGTATTTGTATGTATCTAACATACTCTGATAGGCAATAAGATAAGGATAGAAATTGTTATCCTTTAGGTACAAAAATTGAAGAAATTTCTTTTGAATGCGCTCAATTCGTTCACTGTGGCACTGGGCCCTAGGTGACCACACTATTGACGCATATTCCAGATGGGGTCTAACCAGTGCATTATAGGGTTTTATAACTGTACCCAGATGTTCAAAGCTCTTGGAGTTTCGAATAATAAACCCCAATTTTTTATAAGCCTTGTTTACTACAAAATCATAATGTGAGGTAAATTTTAAACTGCTCTGCATGTAAACACCCAGATCCTTAATTTCTTGCTTTCTCTGTAAAATTGATTTTTTTATAGAATAGTTAAAGTTAATTGGGTTTAACTTTCTGGTGTATGTCACTGTGACACATTTATCAGTGTTAAGGAGCATTTTGTTTTGTAAGAACCAGTCTGCAACAGAGTTCAAATCCTCCTGAAGCAGAAAAGCATCCGAATATGACGCAATCACCTTGAATATTTTAAAATCATCTGCGAATATAAGACAATTAATTCGTCCAATAGCGATGTCGGCTAGATTTTCTAAGTAAATATGTAACTATGTTCCTTTATTACTTTTACCGAATTTGAATTTACTTTTTCCGAATTTGAATTTACTGTTTCCGAAATTAACTTTACTTTTTCCGAAATTAACTTTACTTTTTCCGAAAATGACTTTACATTTTCCTAAATAAAAGTTACTTTTTCCGAAATTGAGGTTGAAATGGTTTAGTTCGACAGGGATCGACCGATACCGATATGGCATATCGGTATATCGGCCTTTTTCAGGTATATCGGTGTATCGGCATATCGGCCCTTCATTGGCCGATAACTTTAGACCGATACAAATCATACTTTGAAGATCAGTAATCATCACTAAGGCTTTTTTGAAGCTTAAAAAAGCTAATAATTGTGGTTGGTACATATGGGAGTGACTAAGAAGAAAGTAAATATTAGAAATTGTTTCTCATAAATTTATTTTAAATTAATTAGGTTTTCATATAAAAAAAAAACTTAACATTCTGCTTATCTAAACTCAAATTCAAAATTATTTATTTATTAAAAAAAAAAAAACTAAACTTTCTGCTTATCTGAACTCGAACAAACAATATTAAAACTAGGAGAAAACAAATAAATAAAACATTCAAACTAAAGGAAAAGTTGCGAGGAAACAAATAAAACATTCAAACTAAAGGAATAGGTTGGAGAAAACAGATAAATATATATCGGCCTTCTATAAATCCATATCGTATCGGTATCGGCAATATCGGTTTAAAAAAAAAAAAAAACGTATCGGTCGATCCCTGGTTCGAACTGTTGGAAGTCCGTAATGCCCAAGTCTCCTTAGGCCGGTCGTCCTTTGGAATTTTGGATGCTTTTTCATCCGAATTGCTTTATTCACTTTCGTCAGAAATCAGACGAAAAAGGGCGAATGATCCCATTTTCATTTTAGTGAAACCCAATGACCATCGTGCATTGTACCCGAAATTATTCGTGCGAATTCGGACGGAAACATTGATTAAAAAAAAAAGGGATTTTTCGCAGTAGTTCTCACGATTTGTGTGTGCTGACTGAGTTACTAAGAAGATAGAGATAATCCTCCATATTACTCCACTACGTAAAGACTGTGCGAAGTTTGCAAAAACTTGTTCACTGAACGATATCACGTATGCAAAATCTGACGAACTTATTCGTGCTATTTCTGACTATTGCAATTCCTACGAAAACGCATCCAAAGGACGATCGGCCTTAGGCCAGTTGTCCTTGGGATCTTTGGACGGGTATTTGTCCAAATTGCATTCGTTAGAAATCGGACGAAAAAGTGCGAATGTTTGTCTCTTGTTAAAATATGATTAGCCCAGCACTTTTTTCTTTCAACAACAACAATCGCCGTCTAACAAGATAATTATTTTCCAAAAGATAATCTTCCATTTCAGGACCTCTCGAATATTAAAGGGTGGTGCGACGCAAACCGCCTGTGTCTTAACATCTCTAAAACTAATATATTGGGCTTTAAATGTAACATTCTGGGAGATGAGGTTTTGCAGGGTCAAATCATGACAAAATTTTTGGGTGTTCAAATTGATAACCAATTGAAGTTTGAGGAACACATTTTTGGATTGGGTAAAAGGCTGTCATCTGGGTGTTTTGCCATCAGGAGTATAAGGGCTGAGTTGGGAGCGGATGTGGCAAGGACTGCATACTTTTCTCTATTCGAGTCTCACTCGAGTTATGGCATCCCTTTTTGGGGCGCGGCCAGTCAATATTTGCTCAAAGATCTCTTCATTCTTCAAAAAAAGGCAGTTCGATTTATTGTTAATATCCATCAAAAAGAGCCTTGGAAACCACACTTCATAAAACTGAAAATTTTGACATTAACATCATTGTTTATTCTTGAGACGTCTAGTTTGGTTTTTAAAAATTGTAAAAATATACGTGCTGCAAGATCTCAACAAGTAACCAGGCAAAACTTCGACTTGCCACTGCCTATACCTAAGAGCACCTTAATACAAAATTCTTTTATATACGAGGGTCGAAAAATTTTTAACCACATACCACTCGAAATCAGACAATCAGTGACTTTGAAATTTTTTAGAAAAAAGTTAAAAAATATACTAATTACCAAAGCTTACTATAGTTTGACTGAATTTTACAATGAGAATTTCATACATCTGTCAAAACTGGTATTCCAACAATAAATTGACATGTTTTGATTGTTGATTTGAACCAATTGTAATTACGCGATAATTTGCACTAGTGCAAATTATCAGATAATTGCATACTAACTGGGGGGGTTTATTTGAAATATGCAATTCAAATTCGTCGGACTAAGTCGCATTTTTTAGCATTGAAGTACCGGCAAAAATTGCGACTTAATCAGACGTATTTGAATTGCACATTTTAAATAAACCCCCCCTGGTGCGAAAACTGGTGTTTTGACATTTTTTGACAAAAAATTAAAATTTTTGATTTATGAAATTCTCTCATTAAATACAACTCGTGCAATGGAAATATATTTATAATTTTCGACAAATTTGCGCTGGCATTTGCTGGTTTTTTTTTCGATGGCAAAGATTTTTGGTATGGAGTGTAGGTTTGAGAAATGTCATCTTTTGACATGTGTGTCAATGTTTGGTAACTTCCGGTTTGACCGGAAATGGTTCTAACTCCGTAATTTTGAATGGCATCCCAATAATTTTTTCGCATTTTTGGTATCTGCGGATCATGATGTGTACGAAAACGTCAAATTTGAACATTTTTGAAGAAATTTCAGAACTCTGGATGAAAATTTATTTTTGAACAGGAAGTGACGGAGCGGTCTTAAAATTGTTAATTTCAACCAACACAATCGTAGAAAAATGCGAATGCGAAGTTATTATCCTATGCTTGTTCTCCAAAGGCTTCCAAAGCTGAAAAAATCACATTTTACGTGATAACTCAATGAAATCAGTGAAATCACCCGACTTTCATAACAAATGTTTTTTACCTTTTTCAAAATAAAACCAACTATGCATTAAAACTTTTTATTCATGACAGTTTTTAATTATTTTTCCAATATTTTCACTATGCATTACTATAACTGATAAAACTACTTATAAATAAACCCCTGTATTCAAACTTTGTATTTACAAATTCCCAAGATGTCAAACAATGACAAATAAACATATCTTGCCCACCACAGATCTTGTCAATGGCTTGTCAAGAAAAAAAAAACACCAGCTCCTTTTGGAAAGCGTTCTTCATACAGGGGTTCATTTATAAGTAGTTTTATCATTTATAGTAGTGCATTATAAAAATAATAAGAAAATAATTAAAAACTAACATAAATGAAAAGTTTCAATGCATAGTTGGTTTTATTTTGAAAAAGGTAAAAAACTCTTGTTGTGAAAGTTGGGTGATTTCAATGATTTCATTGAGTTATCACGCAAAATGTGATTTTTTCAACTTTGGATGCCTTTGGAGAGCAAGCAAAGGATAACATCTTGGCACTCGAATTTGTCTACGATTGTGTGGGTTGAAAATAACAATTTTAAGAACTCTCCGTCACTTCCTGTTCAAAAATAAATCAAAAAAGCCAGAGTTCTAAAATTTCTTCAAAATTGTTCAAATTTGACGTTTTCGTACACATCATGATCCGCAGATACCAAAAATGCGAAAAAATTATTGGGATGCCATTCAAAATTACGGAGTTAGGACCATTTCCGGTCAAACCGGAAGTTACCAAACATTGACACACATGTCAAAATATGACATTTCTCAAACCTACACTCCATACCAAAAAACTTTGCCATCGAAAAAAAAACCAGCAAATGCCAGCGCGAAACTGATCTCGTAGACTCGTTAAGTTATAATGTTAATGTTAGCTTTAGCCTGCTTTGTCGACAGAATTCTATTATTGATAATAAAGTACATTATTGATTGATTGATTGACTACACTACGTAAAGACTGACTTCGCAACGCAGTGCAGATAATTGTTCAGTGGACAATATCACGTATTTGAAATCTGACGAAATTATTTGTTTGTTTTCCGACGAATGTAGTTCAGACAAAAACGCATCCAAAGGATGACCGGCCTAAGGGCATTTTGCAGCGCGTCAGCACCGTGCGTTTTTTTCAAGCTGTTTTTTTATTTTTTTTATCATTTTTTTGAAATAGATTTTTATTTTCCCTGTGAATCTCAATTTTTTCAAGTGTACCGATTCTCCCACCTTGTTCCCGATGTCCCAACTGGTTGGGGAGGAGGCGCTCTCCCCCATTCCTTCCTATACTTGCGTTCCTGCTCCAGTGGCGGCTCGTGACAATCCAAACTGGTGAGGCCCATGGCCCATCAAGTTAACCCAAACAAAATTTTCAAGTGTTACGCCCAAATTTTGACCCAAAATTTCATTAAAAGAACATCTGGGATATTTTTTTTTGTATATTTCTAATTAAAATTTTCATTTCCTACAGGTGCAAAACAACAGCAGTAGGTACATAATTCTTATTTTAATACAAATATTGAGTTTCAAATTAACAAAATAAATTCCAAAAAACAGCTTTTAACCCGCAACAGACCAAAATAAAAAGTATGAGCCAATTAACCAATTAAATACTTGTCGCAGCAGCAAGAGATGCAAGATTTCTTATTAACAAGCCCAAAATTGTGCGCCTCAATGCCTATAAAAATTCGCTATCTCTCACCTACAGTTGAAGGGTTGTGGTGGGGAGTGCCGTGGCATCGCTACGGCGTTCTGTGACGCACATGAGGCCAAAATTTGTGGGATTGCTATTTTATTTTAATGCTGTCCAGCAACGATTTGAGCGCCTATGAGGATAAATAGGTAGAAGCGCGCGCTAAATTCAAGAAATAGTATTATATTTTAATGAACATTCGATGGTTTGATTCTTTTAATGATTACAAATAGTTGAAAAACGTTAAATATTTTACCTACGAAAGTGCGGTAAAGTGAACTTTACCGCACGTATTTGCAAATGGATAGTGTGCGGTAAAGTTAACTTTACAGCATAGTATGCGGTAAAGTAGAATACTAAGTGTGCGGTAAAGTGCACTTTGCCGCATAGTGTGCGGTAAAGTAGAATTTGATATTTATAATAAAAAATCCTCTCTCTTTCAGAAAATGGATTTTTGATCATTTCTGAATCTTATCTAATTTCATTAATTAATCTGATTCATTTATTAATTTTATCAATGCCTTTTTTTGGAGATGTAGATGCTCATAGGTAAAATTTTGTACCTAACACATGCGGAAAGTGCCTTTACCGCCCTTAACGGCTTGACCGAACTCCGCTTCGCGTCGTTCGGTCAACTGCCGTTGCGTGCGGTAAAGTATCACTTTCCGCATTTGTTAGGTAAATAACTATAATAAATATTATTTCAAAATTTTACATCATTATTGTAATTTTTACATGTGAGGCCCGGCCTCAGTTGCTTTATACGACGAGCCGCCACTGTCCTGCTCAGATTTAATAAAGTTGTGCAATAGGTAGCAATGTTGTGGAATAAATGGAATAATGGAAAAATTGACCGAAAAGGCTAAAACGGAACTAAAAGGTTACCTGAACATTTAAATTTATTATTAGATGATAATATAGATATGATTCACAGATACCATAGGCTTGTTTCACTTCAATTACAACTAAATTATGAATTGAATTTAAAAAATTCAGCTGAATAGCAATAACTTTTGTACCTATTCACACAAACTTCTAGATACAAGTAGGAATAGTTATATCTCGAGGTATATCTGCAAAGTGAAGGCTGCAGTTGGGACTTTAATATACTGGGAAAACACTGTATTCACCTGTTATAGATACCTAAAAATTATTCCTTTTGGATTGAATTCTTTCTACCTAAACTTAGTTATAGTTTAGGAGTGTCAATAATGCATTTTTAGGGATGGAATATGATCCATGGATGGAAGGAAACTGGAAAACAATTTGCCAGATATTCAAACTATTTATTTGCTCTTTTTAGCCAACAATCTTAGATAAACAGACAGTTTCTAAACTTGAGTCATCTAATAATCAAGTACCAAAAATAAAGCATAACTTACTTGATTAATCCTGAATTTGTCACAATCCCAATGGGTGAGTCAGAGGTCAGCTAAATCCTCCTGCTGAGTGCCCCAGTGTCGGTGAGAGTTCAACACAACAACAACAAATTAATCAAAATAAGAGTCAATTGAAAAAAAAAAGGTACATGTCAGCTGTCAAGTTGAAAGAAAAAAATCAAAACTAATAGCACTTTCGGCTTCTGCCTCAAAACTGCTCCCGATTAGTCCCGATTGTTAAACAAGCGATCCGAAACGAATTCACATGTTCGGTTTAAACCGGAGTGTTGCTCTGGGCGAGATTCACGTGTTCGACTTGACTTGAGAGTGCTCTAATAAGTTGTATTCCTTCCGAGTTTAGAAGTCTACTACTGGGTTAAAACTCTCGCTAAAATACGCCTTATGTTTAAAACACTCGAGCTACTCGCTCCGGTGTTAGTCGCCCCGATTTGAAAGGAAGAGATGCGTGGTGCAACAAAAACGTTTCGAAAGGAATAAGCGCGTAACGCTCCGGAGAAGTTCCGAAGCTCCTCCTAGGCGTGAAATAAATACAACTAACATGCATAACATGCTGCCTACGTCACAACTGGTATTTTGGCTTGGGGGGTAGGAGGGATTTGTTACACACAGGCCTTCTTATGAGGATAGGCCAGCCTCGTTTTTGTTAATCACCGCCATATTGGTGTATCACCATTGCCGACGTCATTAACTAAGTCGTCCGCGACGCCAGCGGTCGTATTTTGGAATTTAAATTTATGATGGAAAACATTATTTAGTTTTGATTAACATAATAGTTGTTGCTACAGGAAGATGGGATTCCGGTAAGTACCATTGTTAAACTTTAATAAATCCTCTAGTGTTCTCATCGGCCATCATTCACAACATTCACACTACTGTTCTTAATTTAATTATTGATTTTGAGAATAAATTAATATTTTTCTTGGTGTTACAAAACTTGATTGTTTTAATCTCTCAGATTCCCCCGGTCCCTAGTTGCAACTAAATAAGATTGCAACAGTCTCAACCGAACAGGGTTGCGACATATGGTGGAGGTTGCCGGTTTCATCTAATCAAGTTTTCACTATAAATTTAAAAAAAAACATATTTTTCGACGTTTTCACGTAATAAATAACCAATAAAGTAATCCGATGAGAACATTAGACATAATTTTTTTTAATTTTTGTTGACGTAACCACTTTTATATTCAGTTTAAATTTCATTTCATTTTTGACGATTGCAACTCTTATATAATTTTTTTTCTCAGCCCATGAAATAAAATTAAAAAAAATTTTGGTAGCGTCACAATTTCAATATTTGCAAGGAATTTCGTAAAATTTTATTATTTTTGTTGCTTGTTGTTTTAATCTATTCAAACATTCTGCAATTTTTAATTAACTTCATCCCATTTAACGTTTGGGTAACGTCACAATTTTGATTCTAGTAGTTATTTTTTTATTTATGATGCCTAACACATACCATTTTAAAATATTCTATGTACCAGTATTTACCCAGGGCATAGCTTGATCAGCTACTCAAAAAATTATTACAGCGAACGCAAAATATTAAGTAATTCGACCCGCGCGCCTAGCTGACGAAATAAGCAAAACATTTTCCTTTCAGAGATTCACATTACATATGAATTTTCAGCTAAAAAGTGTTTGTTGTTATATTATCGTTATACAATAATTATTCCTCAAAAAACCCATTTATTTCAATGCCTATAGCGCCTTTTTGTGAAAATTTATTTATTTAAAAGGTGAAACTCACCAAAAATCAATCGATATTAATGAGCAATTTTCTGCCGAAAGTAACTAGGAGTAAATCTAAAGTAAATAACGACAAGGAAACAGTTGAAGACCAATCTAAATACAAAAACTTTAATCCAGACCACAATAGTACAACAGATATCCCTGTACAGGATATACTTACGCCTAGGCCATCACTTAGCAGAAGTCCGCCCAGAAACTTTACGTTTGAATTGAAACAATTTCAGGATTTCACAGAGAACATTTCGAAGACTAAAAATTTCCTGGAAGATTTGGACACGACCCTAGATCAGTCGGTATCCAACATAACCGTAATTGAAGCTACAAAAGAAATCCAACACGAGAGTCCCTTACTAGAAAAAGAGCAACTTCATTTTCGAAAAGACAGTAAAGGAAAACTCGATCAAGACACAAAAAAACCTCAGGCTCAAATAACACATAATATAAAAAGTAAAGAAAACTCCACTATGGCAAACAATACCACATTAGGAAATGCTCTTGCAGAGGCAAAAACTCCAGCTGTCCCTATAAGTTTCTTCAGCCACCAACCTTTAATCCGAGCACAGATTCAACCGTAACATTTATAACAAAGTATGAAAGAATTTCAATTTGCAATGGTTGGACAGATTCCTTGAAAATATCATATTTAGGAAATTTCCTAGAAGGGCCTGCTTATTACTGGTATAATGATTATTCAGCAGCCACTGTGAATGAAAACAATACATGGGAGCAAATAAAGCAAGATTTTGTTAAAGAATTTAGCGGGGAACAACCGTTTAGGAAGCTGAAATTAAGATTGTTATCAAGAAAACAACAACCTAATGAAGACATTAAAACGTATTATTATGAACTTATAGGCCTTGCCCATGAAGTAGACCAAAAGATGCCATTTGAGAATTTCAGAGAATATTTCGAAAATGGTCTGCATACGACCTTCTACGAAACATATCATCTAATGTGCAAACCAGGAATGACCTATGAGGACCTAAAGGCGCTCGTGCTCAAACTAAGCGAGATAAGAGAAAGAGCGTTAGTTAATCAAATGACGTCACAAGTTTCACTTCTCAATATTAATGATAACCACAACACAAATTCCAGGGAAAACAATGCCAATAATCATTATTCGACACCTGATAATTTAAATCCAAATTTTATAACCAGAAATAATGGGAGATATAATAGAAATTTCAATCGTACAGACTTCCATAATAGCTCTGGGAGACAAAACATGACATATCAAAGGGGTCATCAACAAAATTGGAACAGAAGCAGCCAAGGACAAGGGAATTACAATGTAAATCAAAACAACGGAAATAATTACGGGAATAATTACGGAAGCAACAGGTCAAGAGGAAGAGGCCGCGGCGGTTACCAGGGTGGCTACAGAGGAAATTATCAACGGTCCAACCTCCCAAACACAAGAAGTAGTGACGGGAGACCAAGATGCAAAGATTGCGGCAGAAGTGGTCATTATTCGTGCAATCAAAACGACACAAGAAGAGTGTCATTTTCTAGATCGCTTTCCCCAAATGCATTCGGACGGCTCAACTAAAAAACCCCAAAGAAGTCGTCCTGCAAACCGGGGTTAACCCATCCCAAAATATTTTGAAAATTACTGGGACATTATTAGTCAATGAACTTTGGTTAATTCGTATTGGAATAATAATGTTATAAAGGGTGATATTTTTTGGCTTGACAATAGGCAAATAGGAAGATGCAAACGAGATCTAAAAAATAGTTGCTTTAGAACGGTCATTAATGTAGTAAAACCAATGACATGCATGAAGCAGAAGCCCGCGGAATAATAACCCTGTGGTGCAAACAGCCTACGCCAAGGCGAGAAACGACGTGCTGCTACGTTACAACTGGTGATTCGGCTGGGGGGCTTCAGATTTGTTCTACACAGGCCTTAGGAGGCTAGGCTATCCTGTGGTAGTGTGTATTGTCCTTGACAACTCCCCACAATTCGTGACATAAGTTGCAGATCTCAACTTTTGATATAAAATGCATTATCCGAGCTTAAAACACACCTCATAACTCAGTCTGAATGGCAAGCAAAGCATCGAGGTCTTCGGGTAACGTCACCACTATCAACTGCTGATCAAGGTTGTTTGAGAGAAGTTTATTTTAATTTAATCAATTAACTTTAGGAACCTTGCTGCTGATCTGATATTGGTGACGTCACCTGCAGACTAGCTGTCCACTCTAGAATTCGCGAACGTACGCCTTCTAAGTTAAGGGCCCCATACACTACGATAAAACACGACGGTTTTCATCGCCACGATGAAACCCGTCGTTCCAAAATCGAAGTGTGTGGTAGAAAACTGTCGTGTTTTTCTACCACACACTTCCCTAATAACACCGATCTCCCAGAAACATCCTATTTATGTACCATTAAGGTCCTTATGTTTCCGACATAAATGGTACATCGCTGCGATGTTTGTAATGTAACATCTCTAGGATGATTGTCCTGAAATGTTTTAGAAACATCCTTTCGAAAATATCTATCGACAAAAAGATTTTTTGTTCTCAAAATTAGATACTTATTACAGCTAAAAAATGGCTAACATTATTTTACAAAACTAGGTAGGACCTCAGACCGGTAGGACCCAGTATTAAATTTGCCAATTTTGTGTGATTTCTGAAAATGTCTCTATCACACACACAAACTAATTTCAAATTCCATAATATACCTGTAATGTATATAGATAATAAGGAACTTAATATTAATTTTGTATTGTAACAACAGCAATATTTAATTTTTCATTCGACTTACAACTTGGAATAAAATAAAATATGTATTGATAAAAGTCTTCTCTCTTTTCAACTTTCAAACATCGTGAATATTCGTGAAGCCGAAGTGTATGGCGCAGGCGCGTGCTCAGGCATTTGTACTTGTACCGGTCAGGACAGGAGGGCACGCCACCACGTCGGGTCGGCGCCGCAGCCAGCGCAGACGGGCAGAATCAGTCGAACGGGTCGTCCTGTGCGCTACGCTTGTGTTGTTGGGCGGAATTTTATTTCGTAATGGCGTCGTGCTGTGTTGAGGATTTGTCAATTTGTGGTTTTTCGCTACACCTAGTTGTGCCATTTTGTGTTCGAAAGGATCTCTGCGCCCTACCAGTGCTTATTAGTTGGTGAGAAAGATTATTTGTTGAAAGATAACGTCGCATAACTATCAATTGTTTAGTTTATTTAATTTCAATATGGCGTCGGTTAGGAAATTTCTAACTTTTCTGATAAATAGCCCCTAGAAACCCGAACTTCATTCTTCATTAGGTAAGAGAAAATAACCAATAATTATTTTTTGTTTTCATAGTTGATTACATTCTAGGTGT